AAATATATATATATATATATATGTATAATATATAAATACTGGAGCCCTGCCTTTCTGTGCCCAGGTCTCAGCCTTATAACATGGACTGTGACCTGTTCTGCTGACCACTCAGCAGTGCTGTGACTGTAAATTCTAGTTTCCAGGAGATACGGAGAGACACACCAATGACCAACCTGCACGTGGCGCCTGCTTCAACTCCTGAGAAATGACTCCTCCTGCTTGGACACAGGAGGATGGAAGGCCTGCAGGTCCTGCCCATTGTGTTGGCCACCACAGATTAAAGCTGTTACCACACATACAAATGCTGGCTCCTTCCTCCACAGTGTGGTAGGGTGGGTGGGATGCCCAGGATCTTGGCTTGCGTGTCCCAGAGGCCTGGGGACATGATTCTGAGCTCAGACACATGGAGACCATCTTGGCTGTGCAGCCTGGTCAGGCTAGGCCCCTTCCTCAGGCCCCAGGATTGATGACCTGGCTGGGCCATCAATGTATATGTGGAGGGGGTGGCACAAGACTCGGGCACAATGCCTCTGCCTTCTGGGACACACATCCTATACCATTAGGGGTAAAGAAAAAGTCGGGGCTGTGCCGGGCAGTGGGAGAGTACCCATAGGAGTACCCATCACATAAAAGGCAGAGGCCTCAGGATAGATGGCTCAAAAGTCAAAAAGAAAGGTTGGCGGGCAGCTGAAGGATTCAGATGGCCCTGTAATCACAAGGACAGCATGACCAAGTTCTGAGGGGAAGTAACCATGTCTGATTGGAAGGGCAGCTTATTAGCCAAAAGTGCCCAACCATCAGCTTTTTAGGACAACTACCCAGCTCAGGTGTCCCCAGAACAGCAAACCACAAACCAATAGCTCTCCCATGGCCCTCATACTAAGCTACTTGCCTGCTGGTTATCCTCAGACCAAGGATACAACGGGTCTTGACTGCTCAGCCCCAGCTGCTGCCCAGAGTTGACAGGAGGGGCACACTCTGGCTTGTCTTTGGGGGAGGCCAGCAGAGCTGCTCCATTTACCAGGGTCTGGTCGGAGAACTGAGAGAAATCTGGGGCCATAGACAAGACTTCATGCGTTTCTACCTAGAGGTGTATGGCCTGCCCTCCCACCTACGCAGGTTTTGTGGTCATGTCTTGGTGCCAGCAGGGTCTGTCTGCCTAGGGTACCTGGAAGCAAAGTGGGTCTTCTAGGAGCCTCTGACTCCTGATTCACTTCCACTTGTAAGCACATGAAGCCTGTCCACAGTCCGGTCAGCCCCACCAGCATATGCTAAGGTCACTGTGCTGGTCCCATGGAGTCTCCAGCCCAAGACAGAATCCCCCATTTGGTACATAGTATGGGGTAGGGATGGACAAGATGAAAACCCATTGTTATGGAAAATGTTCCCAGGAGCCTGAGTGTTTTGTAGTGGGACATCCCAGAGGAAACCTGGAGGTCCCAGCAAGTCCCTCCTGGGTGGTGACTTAGCCCCTCAGCCCCACCCTGCTGAAATCAATTGGCCACTGGGTTCGCCAACGATGGAGCCTCTATCCAGCAGACCTGCCCTTCCCAAGCTGGATCCTGTCTCCAGTCGGCCCCTGACTTTGTACAGTGTAATTCTACCTAATAGAACAGTGTGAGTAAGGCTTGGACTAAGCAAATGGGAGCAGTGACTTTGCCTCTCCTCTGGGAAAAAGCCTGTTGGCAGCAAGGATAGAAGTTACCTTGCCGTCTAGCTAGATCTTAAGGCAGCTACTCGGCATAGGCCCCTTCACCTGCTAGCAGTTTACAGATTTAGAGGAGGCCCAAAGGAGGACAGGAACTTCGACCAGGAATCTAACTGATTTGTTATCCTGTGAGCTCACTTATTATTTGGATCCAGGTGTGTGTGGCTCACAAAGCAGATGGTGATAGTGTAAGTTGTAAAATCCGCTTTAGATCAGAGCAGTTGGCCTGCCCGTCTTAGGCCCATCACACCAAGCTTCCCAAGTGCTCATCCCTGAGAAACCAGACTATGACTGCCTCTTGGACTGTTTACTACTGTGTGCCCAAAGCCTAGAACAGGTTTGGGCCCCAAGTTGGCTCAAGGCAGACTGGGCTGCTTGACTCTGCAGGGCTCTCTGCTGTTCCCACATCCCCAGATTGTCCTGTGACTTGAGTGTGTCCACATCAGGGTTGTCTCTGAAGGACCAAACTGACATTGAGCGGGGTTCAGTCATCAGTCAATAATCCAGAGTCTTTTCTGCTTCAGAGCACTCAGGATGACCACAGTGTGACTAGAGATGCAGAAGAGACCCGTGTCCCTCATCTTGCCCATTTCTTCCATCTCCCATGAGATAGCAAATAACTCAATCCTAAGATACCTCCTTAGGCCGGCCCTCTTTTGAGCAACAAGACTACCACAGTGGGAGGCCTTGCTCTTGCCCTGGCCCCCTCTTAGGGCCCTGCTCAAGTAACACTAGCTAGAGTTGACCACCTGTGGTAATTAGCTGGAGCCACAGATCCACAGGCCAAATTTTAGTTGTTTCTATGGCAAGCAGGTCAGGACTGTTCCTTTCCGCTCAGGAATGATATCTGATCACAGCCACTGCAAGTGGTGCCTTGTGAAGGCTGGAGAGAGAAGGGGACCTTTGATCACTGAAAATCCACTCTCAATGTCCTCTCACATGAATGCTACATTGGCAAAAGGCTGCACCCTTCACAGTGGGGAGTCCAGAGGTTGCCCAGTTTACAATGAGCAGAGCCCTCTGTAGAGTCAAGTGTACAGCCAGCCAGCTGGCTTGGAAGAGATGTATTTTCTGCCCCTCTGTAGAGGACCATAGGGCTGGGGCTGGTGTTCCAGAGCAAAGGGATAACCCTCCCAGGACCGATGAATGTCTTTCCACCTAGGAATATTTAGAAAGCCAGCGTCTAAGCCAGGCATGGTGATGTATACCTGTAATTCCAGCAATTGGGAGCCTGGGGCAGGATTGCTGCAAGGCCAGGCTGGGCTCTTTAGTGAGACCCTCAAACAGGTTGGTCTTAAAGCCATCTTCTGACCTGACCACTAAAAGTGGGACCCTTCCCAGAGTACAATAGTTCACCTGCAGCTTTCTGGCCTTCCTGATGTATGGTCCTATTCCTAGAGGACCTATTGTGATGGGTGCAGATTTTCTGAGCCCTACAGTAAACTTCAACCACTCTCACTTAAAAAACTCGGCTCCATCTTTCTGAGTCTCCAAAACAGCCTTACTTCTTTCTAGTCTGATCTTCGTTTCCTGCATGGTGTCCTCGAAGGCCCAGCTGCCCTCAAATCCTCTCACTGCAGTTTCTGCTTGCAGGACTCCTAGGCACAACCCCATCCCACCCTCCGGCGCGCGCTCTGAGAACAGAGGACAGAGCAGCCTGAAGTGGGCTTTGGAAGCTCTGGGTGTGTAAGTGACCTCAGGCAGCCAAATGGCCCTAAAGGGACACTAAGCCTAAGGAGATCTTTCGGGAAGGGGTCGCTCAGAGGTCTGGGAAAGGAGAGTGGCCCAATATAAATTCCCTTCAGTCAAGGAAACAGGTCGAGAAGTCATAGGCCAAAGTGACATCTTGATTCATGAGGTTGTACCTAAGACAAGCAGATCTGCACGACTGCTGCTTCTGATGGCTGTGCCCGGGAGGAGCCGCCAAACGCGGAGCGAGACATCCCGGAGGGGTCTGTAAGAGGCCTGACCCCTCCGCTGCTAGACCTCACAGCCCTCAACCCTGCCTTGGAGTATGCTGGAGCGGACCCCGACCCCAGACCCAGCCCAAAGGCTGCTGGACCGCCCCCGCCGTTCCAAAGCCCCGCCCCTTGCTCCCTCGCAAGGCACTCTGGTAGCTGTAGTCCAGTCCTCGGTCTCCGCCTTCCCTGTGTTAACCCGGCACGTCTCTGACAGAGGGCGGGGTGGGGGGACTCAAGGATGGCTTCACCGAGAGACTACAATTCCCGGCCTGCTTCGCATGTTGTCGCACGGTCTGTGGGACTCGTAGTCCAGACGCGATTCCCAGCGTCGAGTGCGCCGCTGACGCACAGTGGCTGAGGGACCCGGCCGGGCATCACGCTACGGAGGCGGCGTAAAGCGAGTCGTGTCTGGCCGGTTCTACGGAGGCGGCGTAAGAAGGCCGGGCAGGGCGCTCCGTGGCTGAGGCGTGCTGATCCGGGCAGCGCGGCCAGGGACGAGGGAGGCCGCACCACTCTGGTTGAAGTTGAGGATCAGTCCACGGAGACGCCGTTCAGCCGCAGGCGCTAAAGAGGCGTCGCAGCTCACAGAGGTGAGTCCCACGAAGGAGCGGCCCCAGGCCCACAGGACTCAGCTTCGGGGACAGCGGCCCAGGCCAGGGGAGCCTCGGCCTGGAAAGTAGCGGCTGGGACCGAAGGGCTTGGCCTGGGCGGCAGCAACCCAGGAAACTCGGCCGGGGGGACAACGGCCTGGAATGGTGAAGTAAGGGTGTCAGCCTGGGGGCCTCGGCCTAGGGGCAGCAGCTCGGGACCAGGGAACTTGACCTGGTGGACAGCGGCCTGGGACCCGGACGCTGGGCGTGGGGGATAGCGGCCAGGGACCTGGGAGGCTCACCCTGGAGACAGGGGTCCAGACCTCGAGTTGGCAGCCGGAGGGCATAGGCTCTGCAGGCTGTCGGACCTTGGTGCTTTGGGTCACTCCGGGCCAGCCTTGCTGCCCTGAACACAGGTGGCCGGTCTCCCTGCCTGCCTGTCCTTGAGTGCCCTCTTTTCCCAGGCGAAGTGCTGTTCCATTACATGAGGGCATGTGTTGAAAAGGATCCTCTGCAGTTACTGGTAGCTGCCTAGGCATCCTCGGAGTGGTGTGCAGAGGGTAGTGGCCATTACTCACTTGTACTTTGGCTGTCTCACACTTCCTTCTCTATGTTCCTCCCAGCGGGTGGGGAAATTATAGAGGCTGGCTCCTGATAACCAGTGTTTCCTGCTAGCTGCAGAAGGGGGGCCCTTGTAGTCCTGACTAGGGAGCCCTGTTGAGTAATCAGAGTACCCTGTTGAGCTGGCTTTCAGTCCCTAGTTCCCAGAGTTTGTCACCACGTTATAAGTACCAGGATCCCAAAGGCAACTGTGAGGTTTGGAACCTGTGAGTTCAGGCCTGTGTGTTTGTGATGCTGCAACTCAGGCAGGTGAGCAGTGGATTGAGTGAGGTGAGCAGTGAATTGAATGAACCTCAATTCATTTGGGACCTGTAGGGTCAGTGCTCCCCCTCGGGATTCCCCTGCCCATTGAGTCATAGGTGCAAAGCAGGCTGAGGGGTGGGGAATTCTACCCATCCAGTTCTGAGTGACTTTCTTGAATGGGAAGAGGGGCAAGAGATAGTGTTTCCCTGCCCTTGAATGAACGCAGGGAGCCATGGGCCTGTTACTTGGCAGGGAAGTGGGTCTTGCAGGATACCTGCTCAGCCTGGCTGTGCTGTTGTATGCTGTGCTTCCTATGAGGTTGTCCCCACTCTTTTGCTGCAACTGAGAATCCTTGGAGGTCTTTCTGTGGCAGACAGTTTTATGACCTCAAGCTCTTGAGGAAGGCAAGTTTAAGCCCTGCTAGGCCCAAGGCTCAGAGCCTACTTAACAGGGGCATATTGGGGCCTTCCACTAACCATAGTCTCAGAACAGCCAGAGGCTGGGCCCTGACCCTGCACCTGTGTGGAAGCCTTCCAGGAAAACCTGCAGTTCCTCTGGATGTGGGATGAAGCTCCTGTACATCAGGCCCTGCCTATACCAAGTCTCTTGGCCCCTTTCTTGCTCAGTGTTTCTGAGGCCTTGGTACTCTGCTAATCCCCCTCTTACAGACGAGGAAACCAAGGCAGATTTCTAACTCACAAGGCTGCTTTTGACTTCCTCATTGCACTACCTTATACGTGGCGGTTGGAAAGAGAGGTTCTGCTGTGCTGAAACCTGCCAAAACATGCTTTTCATGAGCTGGTCAGGAAAGGGCTAGAAGGAGGGCAGCTGTCCACATTGCTCTTTGGGGCAGAGCAGCCCCTGATCTAGTGCTCTGGTCCTTTGTGTGACAGGTGTGGACAAGTACTCAGAAGGTAAACTGTTATTAAGTGAAAGTAATTTGGACTCTGAAAATTGTATCTATAGAAATCCAGGGCTGGGGATTTAGCTCAGTGGTTCTGGTGCCTGCTTTGCAAGCACAAGGGCCTGAGTTCGATCTCCGGTACCAAAAAGAAAGAAATCCAGGAACATCAGTGACTTGTCACATCCACATTTACCTTAGACCATGAGGCTGAAATGGTGGAAGGGGGTGCATAGCTGTGGGTTTGATCAGTCTCTTCAGCCCAGACCCAGAGGAAGGACACCACCTCCCTGGGGTCTCCAGGGGGACTCTCCTTCCTGCTGGACTGCCACACCTCCTCACTGGCCTGGCCTTCTGGTTCCTGTCCATGCCTGTTATAGTAACTGAACAAGAGCATCCTGAAGTAGAGTGTGGTTTATTTCTTCTTTCCTAAAGCACTGACTTTCTTTCCTAACTGCTCAGCATGGACGTAGGCTGTACCCTCTGACCTCCCCCACTTCCTGAACTCTTCCACTCTTCTCATTGTGCCTTAGCTGTGTGGAACCACTTGACTCTCATTCTCCACTCTCCAACAAAATTCCCGGAAGACCTCTGCCCAGCCTTAATGTCATCCTGTTTCTCATCCCCAGGGGTCTACTGGCAACACTCACATACTGCACGTCTCCCTTGCTGGGTACAAGTGCTTAGAGAGCAGAGACGTGTTTCTGTCTCTGAGCAGGCCTGGCTCCTTCCAGCTCTTCACTGAGCAGGCACCCACGAGCACCCTTAGCTGCTTGCTACACGCAGCTCTGAGCCATTCAGATTCTAAAGTTTGAGGGGAGCTGCCCAGGCAATCCAGAGAAGCAGCACCAAAGCTTCTTGTAGAAGAGGGATGTCTGTGCCTGACCTTGGCTTGTTTCTGAGTCTGAGTAAAGAGACTTACTGACGTGAGGCCCTTATACAAGTGTCACGGGAAGAAGCCAGACGGGCTGTGGGTTGAGGCTGGACTTGTTACTGTGTGGGTCCGGGGTGGCTGGATAGAAACCTTGTGATGAGTGGTGTGGGCTCATGGATGACATGGTCTGCCAGGACAAGGCCTGTGGCTGGGCTGATGGGAAGACAAGGCCACCTAGCCTACTGAAGAGACCCAAGTAGGGGCAGTGTGGGGCTCCAAAATAAGCCAAAAGGCCCTAGGTCAATGAGGGTGAACCTTTTAGAGCTTGTAGTGATACAAACAGCCCTCTGCAACACATGTGCCATAGGTTCACCACCACTGCCCTAGGCAAATCTGATTATTTTTGTACTTTTCTGTGGGAGCTGCTACATGGGAAGCTGCGATGTAGCTGTCATTTCTGCCGGGGTTCATGAGGCTCCAGATAGGCTCACTGAAGTCTGCATGTCAAAAGACCAGTGAACAAATGCCTTGCTCTTGCCTGCCTATCTTGGCAAATGCACATCACAGTTCTGCTTCTCACATCCAGTGTCACAGCTGAACCCAGGGAAGCTTCAAGGGTTGCTGTCCCCACCTCCCTGATGGCTGAGCTGGAGGACGTGCCTGGAAGGATTTGGGGTATCAGGAGGAAAACCGGTCGATAGCTGCTGTTTGAAAATGTCATAGTGCAACTGCACTAGTTGTAGACAGACATTGTGCCTTCTTGACCCTCTGGGAGCAAACAGCTTCATTGCAGAAGGATTTCCTCCTTGTACTGTCCTCCACTTACCTTCAAAGAGTTGCCCTTTGGAATTAATCACTCAAGCAAGTTGAACCTGTCAGACCTTCTGCTCTTTGCCCTATTCACCCACCTGCTACTTCCCCTTAAAGGGAAATGCAACTAGGTCTGGTGCTTTCTGGAGCCCTTGCCCTCTTGAAGAGGCAGCTGTGCGGACACTAGAGCTCCCTGAGGAAGAAAGTGTCAAGAGTTCTGTTTTTGGGCCAGGACCCACACTCCTTCAACTCCTCTCTGTCTCTTTGGACTTGGTACTTCCTGTCCTGCCTTCAACTGGGCCCTCAGGCCATCTGGGCCTGGGCTGCTCCTGATGCTACTTAGCAAACAAGAAATATTGTAGTACTGAAAAATAAGAGTGCTCTTCTTATACCCCTTTTTCCCTGTAAAAATAGTATTTCACATTAAACATTGAACTTGTGAACTAAAAAGTGAAATCGTAAGTATGTTTCTGTTTCCCTGACAGTACCACTTTGAAAAACTTAATTTCCTTTTATTGTGATACATAAGCTGATGGTCAACTCCCATAGACAAAAGGACATATAGTGACCCTTTTCCATTCCCTGCCCTAAGCAGGACTGGCTTGTGAACCTGTCAGGACACTCCTCTTGTCCCTCCAAGGAGGACCAGATGCCTCAGAGTCCAGCCCCCATGTCTCTAAGTTCATCTGTGAACTGAGTCCAAGATTCTCACAGCCTCCAGTGCAGTTCTGGCAGCCCAGCTCTGGGTCCTGATTTTCATCCTCAGGCTGGTGGCCGATGGTGAAGTATTCAGCAAAAACTGAGTGATCTAGAGCTCAAAGAAAGCCTCCTTGTAGCACACTGTTGTGTTAGCTTCAGCTTGGTAGGGTGAGTGGGTTTGGGCAGGCCATGCTCCTTCTTGAGTTTGTTAGCAGTAAGTTTTGTGCTTTTGGATCCCAAGGCTTTTATTCCTATATGTGACTTCTATGTGGACATTTTATTTTGAAGAGAACCTCCATGATTCACTCCACTAAGGATGTTCACATAGGAGGGCAACAACTGAATATGTGTAAGAGGCTACAGTGGGTCTCACACAGGGCCAGGAAGAATAAAATGGGAACATGTGAGTGCCTCTCCTGCCATGGCTGCTCTTGTATGGTAAGTGGTACCGAGAAAAGCAGAGCCACACAACTTGAAGCAGTGGTTGCCTGTTGGCAGTTGGAGCAGCCAGGTGGGGGTGCCATGTCCTAGGTCCAGGGAATCTTGAAACCTGGCTGTTTGTCCTGACTCCTACCCCTTTGGGGCACCTTGGCTTGGCAGTGTTCAGGGAGCCCAGCTCCCTTCCTGGATGGTGCTAGCCTTAGCAGAGCTAGGCTGAGGGAGTGCCGAACAGGATCTTGAGCAGCCCTTTCTGTTCTCATGCTGGTCCAGGGCTGGCCACCTGCCTATCTAATTAGGCTGGACAAGTTAAGGGCCTTAGACAAGGGCAATGAGCTGGCTAAGCCTGTGCTGCCTTCAGGGCACAGGTGTTCTTCTATTGTGGGGGAGATACAGCTTTATTTTATTTTGTTG